CCCCCCCCCCCCCCCCCCCCCCCCCCCCCCCCCCCCCCCCAAACTCCATTCCCTTCTAACACTGATGATGTTCCCTAGTTGGGAATTTTCTCTGCAAGAAAATCAGCCAAGCTCAGACAGACTCCCTATCTGGGTTCACACATCACACTCAGTTCTCAACCAGGTTGCTCACCTCTGGCAGCCACTGCAATGTTGCTGCAACCCTTTGCAAGCCATTTTGGAAGAGTGCTCCCTATGTGCTTTCAAGCTTGCAAAAGCGGCTTCTAAAAGATCATCTAGCCATGCTATTAACATGGAGTTCTGCTCAGTTTTTTTGGTAACGCTGCTGCCTTGGGTTCACACATCCATCCAACCCTCTCTCTTTTTTTTCTTCTTCTTCTTCTCCAGACAAATGCCCGCCAGGCAGTTGAGCGCCGTTTCTCCAAAGTGTTGGCCGCCCTGGGCATCGACGAAGAGATGCTATGGAAGCATGCTGCTCGGCAGTCTTTAGGCAAATATGGCATCCAAGACATGTAAGGCTGCTAGAATGGAGGGGCGGGGTACAGCCCTGCGAGGTAGTCCAGACAACAAAAACCCAACCAGGAGAACTTGCTCTATCTTTATTGTAAGGTTAAGGAACAGGGACTGGCAAGGCTGAAAGTATTTGTCCACTCTTTTCCTTTTACTCTAAGGCAGGGGTCTCCAAACCTGGCAACTTTTCTTTTTCAAAATGCCTTTCCAATAAAGTACCTGTCCATTTTAAAGTTTTAGTTTTCCATATTTCTGAATATTTGCCTTTTCCTCCCCCCCCCCAATCTTAACGTTTTTTTCTGCTTGTACCACTGCTTCAAAAATAACAGTGAGTTCCCCTTTTTAGATAGGCTTTTGGGGTTGAGTTTAGTTAGAAAAGATTCTTCTCACCCTGTTTCAGACGCCATTCACTATCTCTGCTCCTGCACAGCACTTAAACGGCCACGGCTGTCCCAACTTTGTGGCGGCCATTTTGACCAGCGTCTTTCCCTCCATTGTGGCATAGAAGGAGAAGGCTCTGATTTCCACAGGGGAGTTGCGTTCTCTCCCAGGACCTCACGGAGCACCTCTCATTGGCTTCACCACCCCTTCAGGGCAGTTTTCAGCTCTCTCCGGAGCCCACAAACACAGAGAAGCCAGTGCAGGAACAGAGGACTCTGTTCTCTGCTTCTGGTTCCGTTGCGATGTCAACCGGAAGTCCCTAAATCTGGCAACTTTTCTCATGTTCTTGAGGTATTTGTTTATATATGTGCTTCAAAGCGCTCAGCTTTTTAAAAAAGGAATGCAGGAATCTACAGGTTGTTGCCTGGAATCCTTTAAAACCCCATTCCCTAACCTTAACATTGCAAAGATATGTGGACTTCAGCTCCCAGATTTCACAAACCAGCATGGCTGGCTAGGGAATTCTGGGAGCTGAAGTCCACAAGTCTTAAAGTTGCCAAGTTAGGAGACCTCGGGAAAACTATAGAGGGTCCCTTCTGAAATACTTCCCACACCCTTTTTCCTTCCATGGGCCTAGATACCATTTAACTTTTCACCTTTTTACCATGTAAAAGGTATCTTGGCCCACAAAGAGAAAAGGGAAGCAGACAGGATGTTCAGTCTGTGGCTCTCCTTCCGGTCTCCCAAGGTCATTCCTACATAGCATTGATCAAACTCAGTTCCTACTCATGGAGCCAAGGAAAGGTGTGTTTTTCCCCTAGCGATCATGCCCCTAACTCTTTGACTGCCACACTAAAGCTTTCAATCCCGAATCAACCATTGGACTTAGGCCCTCCTTTCTCTAATAACCTGGGGGCTCTAACTGGTGACATTTGTGTTTCCAGGTATCAGAGTACCGAGTCCTTAGAAGAGTTCCAAAACTCCATCTGAGAGGAAGATAGAATGGATAGAGGAAGCCATTTGGACCAGCAGCTCCCCTTGCCTCCCGGATCTGTAATCCTAGACCATCCAAAAATAAATCTAATGTTGAGAAGCAGAGGAACCCAGCCTGCCTTTGTTCACTCGTGCGTATCCCTGCAACCTGGTGGGGAGCAGCATTGCTAAGCCTGCGGACAGGCTGCCAGCAGCTGCATCCCTCATTCCTAGGCCAGTTTTGGCCATAATGTTGTCTTCTGCACAAGCTGACTGGCCATAATGTTGTCTCTCCTGCACAAGCTGACTTGTCTTACTGTTAAGTGTTTGTTAATCAGGACAACCTGGTCTATCCCATTATGAGATGGAGCATACTCTTAAATAGCACTTAGCAATAGCACTTAGACTTATATACCGCTTCACAGTGCTTTACAGCCCTCTCTAAGCAATTTACAGGGTCAGCCTTTTACTCCCGCAACAATCTGGGTCCTCATTTTACCTACCTCGGAAGGATGGAGTCGACCTGGAGCCTGGTGAGATTCGAACTGCCAAATTGCAGCCAGCCAGACAGTCAGTAGAAGTAGCCTGCAGTACTGCATTCTAACCACTGTGCCACCACAGCTCTAAATAGCTTTGAAATAGATTTATACTAGTCTCCTTTGATTTCTTTGTGGGTAAAACATAAAATTCAACACAAAAATTGCCTTGCTGTTAATAAACTAGTGTTAGCTTTGTGAGGTAAATCAGACAGGAATTGCAACCAGTTGCTAATTCTACTTTACAGATACGTACCACAGATCATTTCATGACCATTCAGAGATACAATGCCATGGAAACAAAGTGACTTTTATAACCATTTTTCACACTTAAGACCAGTGGTGGGCTGCAACCAGTTTAACAACCAGTTCTGTGAGCTCACGCATGGTGTAGGGCAGGGGTGTCCAACCTTGGCAACTTTAAGACTTGTGGACTTCAACTCCCAGAATTCCTCAGCCAGCAAAGCTGGCTGA